CTTTTTTTTTTTTTAAAGATTTATTTATTTATTTGACAGAGAGAGATCACAAGTAGGCAGAGAGGCAGGCACAGAGAGAGGGGGAAGCAGGCTCCCTACTGAGCAGAGAGCCCGATGTGGGGCTTGATCCCAGACCCTGGGATCATGACCCGAGCCGAAGGCAGAGGCTTTAACCCACTGAGCCACCCAGGCGCCCCTATGCTTCAAGCTTTTTTAAGATTGTATTTATTCGACAGAAAGAGTGCATGAGAGCACAAACAGGGGCAGCAGGAGAGGGAGAAACAGGCTCGCCACTGAGCAGGAAGCTTGATGCTTTGGGCTCCATCCCAGGTGGGATCAAGAAGTGAAATTTAAGATTTTTGAAATAAGGTCAAAGGTGGAAATCTGTAGCAGCAGTATGATTAAGGACTGTGCATGGGGTTTGATACATATACTACCTGAGGGAAATTATAAATCATCAACGCATTAATTTTTCAAGGATACTTTGAGCTTTGAGGGGCAACTGTTTAGCTGAGGCACTAAAAAAACATAATATAGGGCGCCTGGGTGGCTCAGTGGGTTAAAGCCTCTGCCTTTGGCTCAGGTCATGATCCCAGGGTTCTGGGATCGAGCCCTACATCGGGCTCTCTGCTCAGCAAGGAGCCTGCTTCCTCCTCTCTCTCTGTCTGCCTCTCTGCCTACTTGTGATCTCTCTCTCGGTCAAATAAATAAATAAAATCTTTAAAAACGAAACAAAAGGGGCACCTGGGTGGCTCAGTGGGTTAAGCCTCTGCCTTCAGCTTGGGTCATGATCTCAGGGGCCTGGGATGGAGCCCCACATCGGGCTCTCTGCTCAGCGGGGAGCCTGCTTCCCCTTCTCTCTCTGCCTGCTGCTCTGCCTACTTCTGATCTCTCTCTGTCAAATAAGTAAGATCTTTAAAAAAAAAAAAAAAAACCACAAAAAACATAATATGCCCATTGTCACCACTGTAACCACATTTTAGGTGACTGAATTTATGAAAAATATTTGTAATACATCTCTCCAGAATTTTTTACCTTCTTCTTATATTACCTTTAAATTGAATAGTACTATCCCCCCAAAAAAGGGAAAACACTAATTTGTTTAAATCTGTCACTTCACATTTCTAGACTAGCATATTTTGAATTTGTCTTACCACAAGTAAAATACTTATTCTAGCCCAGTAATTCCACAACTTGTCTGCACATTAGAATCACCTGGAAACTCCAGTAAAACATTCCAAAGCCCAGTTCATACCCAAGACCAATTAAATCAAAGTCTGGGGGTGGGACACAGGCATAATTAAGCATTTGTTTGAAGCTTCCCCAAATGATTCAAAAAAGTTGCCATTAAAATCAGTATTTTAGGGGCGCCTGGGTGGCTCAGTTGGTTGGGCCTCTGCCTTTGGCTCGGGTCATGATCCCAGGGTCCTGGGATCTGTCTGTCTGTCAAATAAATAAAATAATTTTTTAAAAAATTTTTTAAAAAATCAGTATTTTATGAAAAAATTAAACTGAAGTGACAGATACTAGCTTATTTAGGGGTATTTTCTAAATAGGGATTTCATATAGGCTTTTAAAATCTGAACAATATTTACCCTGAAGCACCATCTTTTTTTTAAAGATTTTATTTTTTTATTTATTTGACAGAGATCACAAGTAGGCAGAGGCGCAGACAGAGAGAGAGGGGGAAGCAGGCTCCCTGACGAGCAGAGAGCCCAATGCGGGGTTCGATCCCAGGACCCCAAGATCATGACCCGAGCCGAAGGCAGAGGCTTTAACCCCCCTGAGCCACCCAGGCGCCCCCTGAAGCACCATTTTAAAAATTTTTTTGAACTTAAAAACTTCCAAAAAGATAAAACTGAATTAAGAAGGAAAAATTTAAGCACTAATTTCTTTAGATCCAGAATAACCCTGAACTCCTTAATGAGACCAGTACCCAAATGCCAGTTCAAGGTCTTATCAACAGTTTAAGCACCACCTGTGGCACAGAGAACCCAAATCTAGCTTCAAGTCCTAGTTTCACTCACGAGACAGAATTGTAGCTCATTCAAAGAAAGTTTATGTACACCTACAAAGTGCAAGTGCACAGCACCATGAACAGAATTTTAAAGATCCCAAAAGCTCTGGACCAATTGCTACAAAACAGAAAAACCGAAGTACAAATAAGTTCCTTACCAGACTCCATATAATCACATTAATTTTACTTGTTCCAATTTCTACTCAACCGTTATCTAAAATCTGCTATTAACTTTAACATCTCAAAAAAGTATTTGACTATTCAGTCCCCAAATAATTCTGAATTGAAGGTCTTCTCTTTCCTTCCTGGTGGCTCCAGCACTGCCATCTGGTGGACATGACAGGGACATGCACCTTCCAGCTACTGCTAATTTACTGAATCACTTCATCAGACTTCCTTCCTCCAGGTGGTGCTCAACTTGCCTGCTGGGAGCAGCTGTTCTCAAAGTGTGGTACCTGGACCAGCACCATCAGCATCCCAGGGGCACAGGTCAGAAACACAAATTGTCAGCCCCACCCCAGACCTACTGAATTCAAAACTGTTCAATGAATTAAACCTGAAACAAATGTAAAATACATTTCTACATCTAATGATTTCTTAGGAGATATTATGAAGTTCAAACTCAACGGAAAGGAAAAAAATTTTGCTAAAAACAATTACAAGAGTTCAAGCTAGGATAGCTAAGAGACTACACGTACTGAAAAGGCTGGCAAGGAAACGAGCTGGTTTGTAGAATGAAATATGAAGTCCATTTTCAGTTTCTTGAGACTGTATTGACATAAATGGAAACATTCAACAGCAAGTAGAGAGACTGGAGTTTGAAAGAGAAGTCAGAACTGAAGCTAGGTCACAAAGTCACGCACAAAGATAACCGCTGAGGTGTAAGGACGTCTCACCCGTCCTTGAGGAATGAGAGAGCTGTAGTTGAAAACCAGTGGCCTGAATGCTGCCCGGGTCTACTAATGTGTTTTGTCTGGTCAGCAGTGTTTTAAAACTAGACATTTAAAATCAAGAGATTTCACCAAAAAATTCAGTTTCCCAGAAAAAAAATAGTTACAGAAAGCTTGGGTCTCCATTCTACAATGGCAACAAGGCCTGCCCAGGATGAGAAGCCAGCTCCTTGAGACAGAGCACTTTCTCTAACTCACAGGTTCCCTACTAGTCCCCACCCTGCTGATGTCTAGCCAGCATCACTCAACGCTTCCTTCTTAGCCTCTGCCTTTGGGTCTGTGACTCCTAACACAGAACAAAATGTAACAGAATCAAAGATTGAGCCTCCGGAAACAACAATGTAGAAGAAAAGGAGCCGGCTCAAGAAGCAAGAGCAGAAACAATGTAGTTGCGCAGAGCAGAGCAGATGCAGAAAGCCAGGAGTACTATGGGCAACTTAAAAGATCAACCTCTTGGAAGAGCCTCCCACACCCTCTCTTTCACTTCTAAATCTCTCATACTTGTACTTTCCCCTCAAGGCACTTATCGGGAGTTTGTAACTAAGAATTACCTTTGTTTAAATATTTGTTTCTTGTCTGCTTTCTTTTGGGACTTCAAGGGTCTTGATAAGAAACAGTAGCAAGTAGCCCAGGTTGGCTACAGGGTGAGAGAAGTGTCTAGAACTCCCAGAAGCTAGAATATAACCCTAAGTATTACAGAATTCATGAAGTAAATTCGGGTCAAATCTTTGAAATCGGGCTAGGAAATTCTTACTTAATTCCATAAGTAGGAGAACACCTCTAAGAACTTCTTAGCAAAAGGATGGCAGGCCCTGAAGTGAACTTTAGCAAGACCACCTGGCACGCACAGGCAGAAGCTACTCGACTCAGAAGTCCACGAATCAAGTTTCTGCAAGACGAACAACTGGGGAATCGGAGAGGAATCAGTAGGACCCTTCCCGCTGATTCCTCTCCGATTTCCCACTTGGGAGGACTGGGAGTGCGGGGGAAGTCAGAGAACTTCAAAAATCTAGAAGACTAACTCCAAGACGCTGAAAGCACCGATGAGTGCGGGTTACACTTGGGTGCAGCTGAGGAGCGCACGACCCGTGCGGGAGGCGGTGACTCGCACTCGGGACAGATCAAGACGAGATGAATCCGAGAGCTGTCTTCCGGGCGGTACTTGACCGGGGACGGCTCCCCAGGATGCCCAGGAGCTGCAGTGGCGCCGCGACAGGTAAGAATGAGTGGAGGCACATGGGACAGAGCCAGAGCGCGCAGGGACACAGAGTTCAGAAGGAGTCCCAGGCGGCTCAGCAGAGTCCTCGCACGCGCGGGGACACCGGACCTCGGGGTACCGGGAAGCCGACCCGGCTCCCCTCGCTCCCCGCTGCCGGGGGCTGGTCTGCGGCCACGCACCGCCTCACCCGGCGCGCACTCGCCTGCGGGGAAGGACCTGGTCCCCGACACGGGAACGCCCACCTCGGCCCCGACGCGGACAGCGGCCCACCGGACCCTGCCCTGCGCGCTCCGCGCCGGCGAAGCCCCCGAGCCCGGACCAGCGCAGGCGGCCGGCAGACGCGAGCCTCGGGGCCGCCCAGAACCGGCCGCGGACGCCCCGCACGCCGAAGCCCCGCGGCCCCCACGCCGCACCGCGCCGCGAAGGAAGGGGCGGGGCGGGCGTGGCCGACGGAGCGCCGGAGCGGGGGGACGGGGCGCGGCGGGGCCTGCGCTCGGGTCCGAGTCGTGCTCCCGACGGCCGCCGGGGACTTCGAGGCCGGGCCGTCCCCCCGGGCGCGCGACCCTCTGTCCTTCGGCGACAGCTCGGGAGCCCGCGCTAGACCCCTCGCTCGCTCACCCGGACACGAGCCTACACGTCGGCGACCCCATTGCTCAGGTACCGGCGCGCGGAAGGTGGCAGGGGGCGTTGCCCCGCGGGATCTCGCCATCTCGCGATCTCGCGTGGTCTCCCGTCAGACCCGCCCACCGCCGCCCGGCTCCGCCCTGCGCCGCGGGACACAGAGGACGAGTCCTCCAGGTAGCCAGAGAGGCCCACGACGGGCTTTCCGCCCCGCCCCCTCGCCGGCGGCGCGACGCTGAGGGGCGGGGCGAGAACCGCTGCTGGCGGAAATGGGTGGAGGGCGGGGGGGGGGAAGAGGATGGAGGTGGGGCTTGGTTAGGGGGCGGGGCTGAGGCGAAGGCGGAGGCGGGGTGCGGCGGGGCGGAAAGAGCGGCCTGGAGCAGAGCCTGGACGACTGGGAGGAAAGAGGCGGCTCCTGGCAGGGGCCCGGGGCGGCTCATTGGGTTACCCATGGGACTCTGCTCGGCTTTGGCTGGGATCGGGATCTCAGGATCAGGGTTCCAGCCCCATGTTGGGCTCCCCTCTCAGTGTGGGGTGCTCTGATGATTCTCCCTCTGCCCCTCACCCCTCTATCAAATAAATAAATAAATCTTTAAAAAAGAAAAAAAAATTCTTTTTTGTTTCCTAGAGGCTCTCTTGGGCTGGGCCCGACCAGCAGGCATTGACATGAAAGACTTTGCATGAATTTTAAGATTTTTTTTAACGAAAAATAAAAATTTAGTATTCTCTTCTTTGAGAATCAGATGAAATACACACTTGATAATAGGATCCTGGTGTAGTTTATGACATCCAGCCTTACCAAGCAGAAGTTTTAACATTAGGACTGGTACATGTCAAGTTTTTTGGAAAAGTTATAGATCCCCCACTCTTCCTCAATGGCAGACAAAATTTGTCTTATTAAGAGGTGATAGACACATCTTTACCAACAAAACTGAAAGTTACTGTTGTCAGTGAAAGCATAATTATATTCAGAAAGTAGCCTACTCTTAAATGAGATCAAAGGTTACCTAATCCATTAGGATTCACTGTTAAGTCCATTCAGAAGAATGTTTCTCTGTATCCAAATACACCCAGATGTCCAGCCCCAAACATTTCATCACCACGTAAGTATTGACACATTAGTCAGAAAAAAGGAATTCAGTGAAGAATTTCAGAAGGAGGAAAGTTAAAGGAATTAGTCTTAGCTAGTTAACATTTAAGAAGACACTATCAAGACTTTGTGAAAAATTATTTTTCTTACTTAGGTCAAATATAATTACCAAATGCCCACTGAACAGAAGACACACGGGCATCACAGAAGGAACTCCTGACCTGTAATTCAGTTTTTAACCTGCTCTGGAACATCAATATCTGATATCAGCATCTGACATGGCCATTGTGTCTCATTCAATGTGCCCCAAAAATGAACAGATCATTCAACCCAGTACGTTTATTGGAAAGCATGAGCTTTCCTGTTAACCCAAGATTCAAACCTTCCCTGCTCCTGAAGCGTCATGTACATGCGACCTGCACCTCACAAAGCCCCATGCTTAGAAAGGCCCTGTGCTTGGTTTAATGTCCTACTTTTAACAGTTTTTTTAACAAGATGTCTCACATTTTCTTTTCGCTGTAGGAGGGTCTACAGATTATGTAGTCAGTCATGTCCTGTCCCTAGCATGCTAATAGTTTTGTGACCTTAGGCAAATTACATAATCCAAGATGTTTTTCAAAAGTGTTCATATCATTTTGGACTAAGAATTCTAGTTGCAGACAGCCCACAGAATAGGAAAAAAAATTCCAAATGATATATTTAATACAGATTTTGTAGCTAGAATATATAAAGAACTGTTACAACTTAATAATAATTTAAAAAATCATTCCAGAGCGCCTGGGTGGCTCAGTGGGTTAAGCTGCTGCCTTCAGCTCAGGTCATGATCTCAGGGTCCTGGGATCGAGTCCCACATCAGGCTCTCTGCTCAGTGGGGAGCCTGCTTCCTCCTCTCTCTCTCTCTCTCTCTGCCTGCCTCTCCATCTACTTGTGATCTCTCTCTGTCAAATAAATAAATAAAATCTTAAAAAAAAAAAACAATAAAAAATCATTCCAAAGTGAGCAATGAATCTGAATAGGCAGTTCTCCAAAGAAGATCTACCAGTGATCAATAATCATATGAAAAGATTCTCAACATGATTAGCCAACAAGGAAGTACAAATCAAAACCATAATGAGATAATGACTTCATACCCACTAAGATGGTTATAATCAAAAAGACAGAAAATAACAAGTGTTGGGGAAGATATAGAGAAATGGGAGTCTTCATACATGGTTGGTGGGAATGTAAAATTTTATGGCCATTTTGGAAAAAATCTGGCAATCCCTCAATTGGTTAAATATAGAGTGACCTTTGGCCTAGTAATCCCACTCCTATGTGTATACCCAAAGGAAATGTTTACAGCTACTCATAATAACCAAAGAGTGGAAACAATTCAAATGTGTATCAACTGATGGATTTTTAAAAAGTAATATATCTGGGGCACCTGGGTGGCTCTGTCAGTTAACATTTGCCTTAGGCTCAGGTCATGATGTGCTACAACATAGATGAACCCTGAAAATGCTGTGCTAAGTGAAAGGAACCAAGGACAAACGACCACATATTGTACAAGTTTGTTAATATGAGTGTCCGGAATAAGCAAATGCGTAGAGACAGAAAGTAGACTAGGGTCTAGAAGGGGTGGTAGAACAGCTGGAGGATGCCAGCTAGGAGGTACTGGGTTTCTTTCTGGAGTAATACAAATATTTTTTAATGTATTCTGGTGATGGTTGCTCTATACTAAAAACCATTGAATTGTGTACTTTAAATGGGTGAACTGTATGGTATGTGAACCATATCCTAGTTTTAAAATCAAAGAATTCTGGTCGCTCCACATCCTCATCAACATTTTGTGCTGTCTGTCTTTAATCTTAGCCTGCTGACGTGTGTGTTAGCTCACTGTGGTTTTAATTTGCATTTCCCTGGTGTCTAATAATATTGAGCATCTTTTTGTGTGTTCATTATCTGCTTTGGTAAAGTGGTTATTCAACTCTTTTGCCCATTTTAAATGAGGTTATCTTTTTATTGTTGTTTGATGTAGTCATCATCTAATGCTGTTACAAATTGCCCCAAGATTCAGCAACTTAAAATAACAAACATTCATTATCTCTCTCAGATTCTGAAACGTGGAAATCAGAGAGAGGCTGAGAAGTGGTTGTGACTGAGTGTCTCCTGAGGTTGCAGTCCTGGTATTTGCTGGGACTGCAGTCATCTGAACGGGGCAGGAGGACCCCTTTCCAGACCCACTCATGAGCTCGTTAGCAAGCTTCAGCTCCTCGCCACGTGGTCCTCTCCACGGAGCTGTCATAGTGTAGTGGCTCTGTGTCTCCAGAGTGTGTGATCCAAGAGAGAGAACCACTCAAGAGAAGCCATAGTATCTTTCATAACCCAATCTTGGAAGTGACCTACCATCACTACCTCCTCATTCTGTTGGTCACACGTACCACACCTGGTACAGTGGGGGAGGGGACTGCAGCAGGGCGAGAATACTAGGCGGCTGGGCTCATTGAGACCTGTTTGGAAGCTGGTTACTACTCTCGAATTTGTATTTTCTTTTCTCATTCCCAGCCAGTCATCAACTATTTCTTAGAAGCATTTCTCAGATTTGCCCTATCCTCTTAACACCCCAGTGCCACCATTCTGGTACCCATGTGAAACATTCAGATCTAACTTCTCTCTTCTCCCACAAGCATCACACCCCTCAATTCACTGTGCGTTTCACTGATGACAAATCCTCCCTGTACCATGTATCTTTGGCTTATTTTTCAGCTGCTAAGTCATCTCACAATTGTCTCTAGCTATGTAGTCTGATACTGGACACATGTGACACTGAACACTTGAACTGTGGTCCATGCCACTGAGGAACTCGATTTTTCCTTGATTTAAATTTAGTAACTGGAGGGGTATAAAACATTTTTAATATTGGTTACATGTCAAAATGGTAATATTCCAGACATATTGGATTAGGGAAAATATATTATTAAAATGAACTTCACCTGTTTCTTTCTACATTTTTAGTGTGGCCTAAAAAGTTTTCAATTACATGTGTGGCATTATTAGTGAACAGTGATGGTCTATAACATTGAGTTCAAACTGACTGACCTTTGAGGCAACAGAAACAAGAATCCGCCCAACTATCCAAATTCATTTCCCGTGTAATCTGCCCTCTTCATTCCTGTCATAATCTCTTCTGGATGTCTCCAAGGCCATAGTGTTGATTTCCTGCCTCTGTGCCTGGGCTCATGTGATTCCACAGGCCAGGAAAGCTGTTCTTCTTTTATCCTCTTCTAAAAGTTTTCCATCCTGAAGACCTGTCTTGAGTCTTATCTTCCTGCAGTAGTCTCTTTTTCTAACCTGTACTGGGCTTTTTTTATTTTTCCTGGATTTGAGTTATACTTCTAATCAGCATCGTAGTTGATGACTCATTTCTTGCTTACTTATTTGTTGAATGCTAATTTTCTCTCTCAAATTATACATTCCTTCAGGATAGAAACTGTATCTTCTAGGTTGTCTGAATTCTTCAAAAACCTACTGTTGGGAACATGATGAACAGCCATATAAATCTGATACACTAATTAACTAATTAGGAAAGAGATTTTGCAAACAAATAACTGTGTGTATTTTGATCAGTGTAAACCTGGCACTAGTATGGAAAAATAAGGTTGTAAAATTTATTTATCAAAACACAGATGCTCCTCGCAGATGAATTAAGTACTCACAACATGTGAAAGATTATCCAGAAGCCAACACCAGGACTGAACGGGAGGGACATGACCCCTCCTTTTTCCTGTTAGAAATCAATGATTGGTCATCTAGGAAAGGCTCTGAAAAGCTTGCCAAAAGGTCACCACTGTTGGGTTGAGGTCCCTCAGACGGCCAAACACCAACCCTCACCGCGGAACTCCCCCACTAGAAAAGACGTCTTCCAATGCCAGAAATGAGCTGCTCACTCGTACTGTCCCGATAGCCCACTTCTACAACGGCCTCTGCAGCTGTGCCTTTTCTGAACTCTAACCAGGCTGAGGCA